CGTCCGAAAATATTGTGTTTTGACCAGTTGAAATCTGAATACTTCCAATTCGAAGATTGCCCTCGAAAGCACAGGTCGCTCCAATTCTAGTAATCTCAAGAACCATACCTGGCCGTCTCTTAAAAACCCTTAATTTGCTTGACAATGATTGTCTTGAGCTGAAGATTATGAGGATATTAGTCACAACTTTCCATAAGAAGCACAGCCCTCAAAAGCTACCTAAAATGGGCTAGATTTTCTCATTTAATGCAAGGTGATTTGTGGCTTGTCTAGGTTGAAAGTATCATTCGTTGGCAGGGAAAATTCTTCATTAGGTTACCATATAAATGTTACCAGTATAGGATATGACACCTAATATACTTTTCTCTACATGGAGGTGGAGCTCAGTTGGATTCACGAATGTTAGACACCTGTTCGTTCGAAATTGGCATGCGAATTAATGTGGATGTATTTATCCTTAGCTGAAGAGATTAATGCTTGGCTCCAAGATAGGGAACTTCACATTCGTACGTAAAACAATATGATGAATTCAAGGATTTCCTTACCATAGCGCACGCAATAGATGAATGAAATAGAACGAACTCACCCCGATCTGGCGTCCGAATTGATCCGGGTTTTGGTTTTCTTTGTAATTTAAATGGCGGCTCCGATGGAGGGATTCGAAAGGATGATATCTAGGGGAGTCTATGAAGATCTTGTGAAGACTATGCAAACATAAGGATAGGATTTCACTAGACACTCAAGCCAAGGAAAGAACGAAAATGCTTTGTGCGCGTATTAACTCTTATACTGTGGACGTACAAAAGTTGAAAAAAAGAGAATCGTAAACCTATGTGTGCTTCACGACCTTCTTTTTTTCTCTTTGGCCCTATCCTCCACACACTTCATGCTCTATAAATACCACCCCCCCTCTCTCGACTTCTCCAGATCGAAAAAAAGTGAAGAAACGTTATACACAGTTTGGCATTTTTGCCACAACCTACCCGTAGTATTTATCTAAACTCTGCTGGTAAAAAGAAAGAAGGAACAAGAACATCATGGGTGAAGGATCCGTTTGTGTTCTCGCCTGTGTTCTTGCTTTGTTACTAGTGTTTATCCTCCTCAGAGATTGGAAAAAATCACAGCGAAAGACCAAGCTCCCTCCTGGTTCAATGGGTTGGCCTTACATTGGAGAGACTCTCCAGCTCTACTCTCAGGACCCCAATGTCTTCTTTGCCACCAAACAGAAAAGGTTCTGATTTTATTTCGGCTCATATTGGAGTCGAATACTATCTTCTTTTTTTATCATAATGAATTATGTGTGACTTTTCAATGTGGTTTTGGAATGATGGTTCAGGTATGGGGAGATCTTCAAGACCCACGTCCTAGGATGCCCTTGCGTGATGCTGGCCGGGCCCGAGGCTGCCAAGTTCATTCTGGTGTCGCAGGCTCATCTGTTCAAGCCAACGTACCCAAAGAGCAAGGAGCGTCTGCTTGGCCCCTCCGCCCTGTTTTTCCACCAGGGGAAGTACCACACTCAGCTGCGGAAGTTAGTCCAGGCGTCTCTGTCGCCGGAGGTGATCCGGAACATGGTCGCCGATGTCGAGGCAGTCATGGTCTCCACATTGGACTCGTGGGTTGGTGGCCATGTAATCAATACATTCCATGAAATGAAAAAGGTAAGTCAATGATTAGAGCAATAATAGTTAACATATATAATTCTCTCTTTCATGATGCCTGACCGCCTTTCCTTTCCTGATTACAATTTGGCGGTGCAGTATATACTGTTATCAGAATATCATAATTAACGTGCCAGTTTGCAATCATCTGCAGTTTTCTCATTCATGGTTACGCTTTTTGTTGCAGTTGTCTTTTGAAGTCGGTATACTCGCGATTTTTGGCCATTTGGAGAGTCACTACAGAGAAAAGCTGAAGAACAACTATCACATGGTGGACAGAGGCTACAACTCTTTTCCTACTATCATTCCTGGAACTCCATACAGACGAGCACTACTTGTAAGAACATGATTCTTCGGTTCCTAGTCCGAGATAACTTCTGTTACTCTTTCCAAAACAGACGCACTAATTCTTCTCAGCAATCTTCGTTTTCGGTTTCCACAGGCAAGAAGGAATCTGAGCAAGATCATAAGTGGGATCATTGCTGAGAGGAAAGAGAAGAGGATGCTCGGAAAGAACCTCCTAGGACATCTTTTGGACTCCAAAGACGAAAACAGTGAGGCTCTCACCGACGAGCAGATCACTGATAATATTATCGGAGTGCTTTTTGCCGCTCAGGATACCACGGCTAGCATCATGACATGGATTCTCAAGTACCTGCACGACAACCCAAAACTTCTTGAGGGTGTAAAGGTACAATACTAAGAATTGATACATGAATTCTCCTCAATACTTTCTCTTAATTCTTGTCTATATTATCTTGCACAAATGCTGGAAAAAGATGTATAGAACTAAACTTAGTCTCGCCGTTGACAATGCTCTCTTGCAGGCAGAGCAGAATACTATCCGCCGATCGAACGACGAAGGTTTCCAGCCTCTGAGCTGGAGTCAGGCTAGAAGAATGCCGATAAGTCATAGGGTGAGCTAGATCTCCTTCAGTTGTGTTATTATTATTGATCTCCTAAATAGAATTTGCAGTGAAATAGCGACTAATTATTTGTTTTGTGAGACATTTTCAGGTTGTTTTGGAGGCCCTGAGAATGGCAAGCATCATATCTTTCACTTTCAGGGAAGCAGTGGCTGATGTAGAATATAAGGGTAAGAGACGAAACCTATCTATTGGCTCAATTAAAAGAAAAGGAAGCTTCTGGCTACAGAATATGCTGATATGTGGTCATAATTGGCATCCGCTGGTCCCGAAAGCGCGATGAGCGAAAATAAGCCAAAACGATAATACCCAACCTCCAAATTTGACAGATCAGTTTCCCTAATCAGGTTTCGACTTTAGACAAACACCCATTGGGACCTTATTGATGTTGAGAGGAATTCTTTGACCAATATAAGAATATATGGTCTAGACAAGGGGACAGAAACGATTACAACACGAGTGTGGGAATACTGATTCTGTACCAGTCGTCTGGAGCATGTCCTATTGTTTCTTGACACATGATTGGCTTGGTCTAGGAAAGTGAGATTAGGCAATAATTCCTTACCAAAGTGGCGTTATATTGTCCGGCTAACGCTAAAGTGTAACAGGTTACCTAATTCCAAAAGGTTGGAAGGTGATGCCTCTGTTCAGGAACATGCATCACAATCCCGAATTCTTCAGTGACCCCGAAAAGTTTGACCCTTCAAGGTTTGAGGTATGACTCCGCATGAAAAATTCCTCAAACACTTCGTGTTTTCCCTCCATTTCATGCATTGACCGGTAGTTTCTCGCATCTTCTTCTCCACAGGCCGCACCAAAACCCTACACATTCATGCCATTCGGCAGCGGAGTACATGCCTGCCCGGGAAATGAGCTTGCCAAGCTGGAGATACTTACTCTGATTCACCATGTTGTCACCAAGTTCAGGTATTGTTTCCACTTTCCAGAAGTCTTTAGAAACTGAGAGTCATACACACGGTTGGCTGAGAATGGATGGAAGCTAAGAAAACTAGCCTTTTTTCTAAGCCAAGAAAAAAAGAATCATAGCAAAAATTAGGAGAAAAGAAGATATTTTAGATGATCATTGGTGCAGGAAGAAAGAATCTCGATGAATGCGATGATGTACTGATAGTGACTATTCGTTTGTTTTTGCAGGTGGGAAGTCATAGGTTCCAAAAACGGCGTACAGTACAGTCCATTCCCGGTTCCCCTACATGGACTGCCAGCCAGATTTTGGAAGCTCCCATCTTGAAGAATCCGTTGAGACATTGATGACATTATCTTCCCCAAATAAAATTAGTTTCGATTCTAACTTGTCTTCTATTATTTTTCCCTAATTTTGATAGTTATTGGTCTTTTCTTTTTCACATTCCGTAGCCCATCTCCTAAAAATGTGGAGATGCTACTCATTTTTATCAATGTAGACCAAGTTATCAATTTGATGATTTAGTTCCTCATTTGTTTCTCTGCTTTCCCTCGCGTTTAGATTGCAATGATTTAAGATCTAAAGTAATCTAAAAGAAAGAAGAAGATCTGAAGGCTAAGGCCTGAAAAAGACAGCAGAGAACCATTGAACTGTTGTTTTCATGACTGCAACAGACCTTGCATAATTCTTTTCTTTTTGGTCATGTGCCTTTAGTCTATTGTCTCTCTTAACATGGATAGTCTCGGTATGGCTGCGAGACAGCCACGTGCAGTAGCGAGACTGGCTGACTGAGCCCTCCCAGCTGGAGAGCATACTGTGTCTGGGACAAAGATTACTTTCATGAGCAATAGCTTGTCACTCTTTTTTACATGTCCAAGATGTGGATGCTAGAGCTTGGTTGAATGTTGGAACTGTGTCTCTGTCAATAGTGGGGTGTTCGATATTTTTCACAAAGAGGATCCAATTCTCCAACATACGTGGACCTAGATGGGATCCCTCAACACCCATCTGCCTGCCTTATGTCTGTCCGATGGCTAATCTATGCAAGCGTTTATTTGTTTATTGTATTTTTATAACAAAAATTTAAGGGAGTCGGCAGATGTGATCCCACAAGGAAAATGTTTGAGGAGGTTGATGGTTGTGAACATGGAAATGTTGGAAGACACAAGCGAAAGACCCTATATGTGAAACAGATCGGCACATCAAGAGGGAAAAGTCGAACTAAAAATTCCTAATGATACATCAAGAGGGAAAAGTTGAACTAAAAATTCTTAATTTGCTCATTTAAATTGGATAGAAACCAACCCTATGTTGCGGCTTAACTTGCATCCTCATACACATTCATACTTTAAGGGATTGTTCGCTAGTATTTGTTGTGTTTTTATTGCTCGAAGCATCAGCAATAGCCCAGACAATCTCAACCACTCTCAGTCGAAAAACTCTGTTATGCGATGATGGATTTTACCATTCATAACAAGTGAGAAGCAAGTATAGCACACGAAAGCAAACTGGAAGACTTTCTTATCACCACACTCCAATCTGAATTACACTTCGAAGGATACTCATGTTCTGCTCTCACGTTAGGAATATCATGCCATTCATTTATTGCACAATCATCAACCGCATAGAACAGGCATTGAAGACAATGACTAGCTGAAAGTATGTACAAGCATCATTATGTGCAAAAGTAAACTTTAGAAAACTGAACCAGAACCCATCATCAGCCTGCTAAAGCAGAAGACGAATACTTAAGAATGGCTTCAGTAATCCTCTCTTTGTCTCTGGTCGGGAATGCTTCCAGGAGGACCCCGTTCTTGTAGAAATGGAAGAGCGGCACGGCCTGCATCATGTGAGTATCTCAGGTTGATTGTTGTGTCTTGAGTGAAGCATACAGGCATAAATCAGATGAAGTTTACATCAATTACATTGAGCTAGCTTTAGCACTTGCTCCACCTCAAGTAAGACCAGAAAATGCAGACTAATCTTAATTAAAATATTGAACAACAGCTGAAGCTTACATTTCTGCATCCTATTGAGAATGAGAATCAATATCAATTATCCAAATGGATAAATCTAGTTAATATTATCCAATAATTGGACTAAATGAGAATAGAACAACTATTTTTAACATTGAGCAGCCAAAGTGATGGGAAGATTTTTCAACCCGAATGTTATCTATCAATGCTAAGATCGAAAGAATTTCAAGAGAACACTACCCTTATTCTAAGCCTCTCTGCAACCTCCGATTCTTCATCATATTCATCGATTACCTGCAGAAAACATACCCATTGTGCTCCATTAAGTACCAGAGGTTCAGTTGAAGCGTCGTAGCCAAAACTCGCATTTTGTCAAACCTCAATCACAAGACCAGCGAAAGTACTCACATTATGCTTCAAGAATATTACTGAAGCCTCTTGATCACCAGCACCTTTGCATATTTTCGCAAATCCTTGCTCTATGTACTTGCAGCTGCCGCAAGAAGTGCGGTAAAAATCGACCACCACCAAAGCGTTAGTCTCTTTGGCCTTCTCAAGAATTCTAAAGAACTCCTCGTCAGTCTTGAATTCTCTCACGCAGTCAACAGGACAGAGATCATCATCCTCGTCCAACAACTTCCCTTGATCTTCATATGCTACGCACTTGACTTTTGCCCTTCGACAATCATGACCAACTTTTAAATGGTTCAAAGCAGCAGAATGAGTGGTGGATGGAAGTGGGACCTTCACCCACTTAGCACATAACCTAACATCATCTCTTCCGGTATAAAAACATGAAGTTGCATAGGTGAACTGGTGATCATACTGTCCAATGGGATTCCCATGGAATCCAAACGGGGCCTTGCAATTGAAAATACTTGTCTTTTGCATCAAAATCACACAGAGAACCTGAACAATTGCTAAGTCTCAACTTCAAGTAGAAATCCAGGGCCTGGTGCAGGCATAAAAATCTGAATACTTTGCAGGTTGAAGATTGAATTGATCAGAGCATAAAAAAATACAGGTCGTCGCTGAAAGAACAAAGAGGTACTTGTCAGATTCTCATAACATCCCTACTGGAATGTCCCTTTTTTTGTTTTTTTTCACAATTTCCTAATGCAAAACACATTAAGAACAACTTAGATTGGCAATTAGCCTGTGAGCATGGAGAACTGTTACTTGCAAAAGTGCTAAGCACAGCATCACGTCCGCCATCATATAGATACAGCCTCATCCGAGGCATGCAGACGGGACTATTCACGTGGATTCAATTAGTGGACATGACAAGTTCAGATGACCGTGCTATAAGAAAAAAATGCTTAGCAAGCATTCAGCATGAAAGGTTTTGATGCAACAGTTCTCAACTCAACTCAGCAGCCAACAAAACAAGCACAAGAGAATTTGTATGTGGATCAGCTTCGCGCGCAGAGCAATGCAATGCAATTACCTGATTGGCGGTTCAGGCTTCGCCCGAAGTTTTTTCTCCTTTCCTCCTGAAGAAGCCTGAATGAGCGAAGGACACGACAAGCAGAGACCAAACTATATCCTCTTCTCCCGCTTGTTCCTGACCACTCAAATGGGCCGTGCACGAGTTTCATTGGGCTTCCATGCAAAGGGCCTAAATCGCAACAGGCTCCATACCGTAAAAATCGTCTCTTTTGAATGAGATTTGTGGCAACTGAGTGAGCGGTAACTGCTTCGCGCCAGAGTATGAGCTCGGCGTTCCAGCTACTGAACCCCAGCGTCCAGTTCTTCAATTCCGCCATCGAATCATACATAGGAACCTTACATTCGAGGTGGGCACTGATCCGTTTTCGGCAACTGCTGCAGTTGAACTTGAAGCCGAATGCCCTCACTTTCTCTTTGCTGATTAAAGCTTATGCTTCGAATCGCCGTCCCTCCGCCTCTGCTTCTGTGAACGCAAAAGCGGAGTTGAATCAGGCTCAAGCCCAATTGGTCAAATCCGGGTTGGATCACTTCGTGTACTTGAGCACTGCTCTTCTTGATCTATACATGAAAGTGGGGTGCGACTCTTGTGCGCGCAGGGTGTTTGAGTATATGCCCGAGAGAGATGTTGTTTCGTGGAACGCGTTAATCTGTGGGTATTCGCGAAAGGGGATGGATTTTGAGGCGCTGAAGCTCTTTATACGGATGCTTGGGGAGGGTTTTAGTCCTCGCGCTGCTACACTGGTGAGTTTGGTTCCTTCTTGTGGTCATCGTGATTTAGTGTTTCAAGGGAGATGCATTCATAGTTTGGGAATGAAGTCTGGGCTTGATTTAGATTGTCATGTGAGAAACGCGTTGATGTCAATGTATGCTAAATGCGGAGAGTTGGATTGCACGGAATCTCTGTTCGATGCAATGGTTGATAGAAGTGTTGTTTCATGGAACACAATGATCAGTGCATATGGCCAAAACGGTTTCTTCATTGATGCAATGTGTGTTTTTAAAGAAATGGTGGAGAAACGTCAGGAAGTCAACTCAGTTTCCTTAGTGAGTCTCTTGTCCGCGCATGCTGATCCAGAATCAACCCATTGTTATGCTATTAAAACAGGTCTTGTCAGTGATGATTGTGTCGTAACTTCACTCCTCTGTGCATACACAAAGCATGACGACTTGGGTTATGCTGAGTCACTTTATGAAAGTTTGATTCAGAAGAATTTAGTATCCTTGACTGCACTTCTTTCAAGTTATGCTGAGAAAGGAAACATCAAGGGAATGATGAAGTGTTTCTTCAAGATACAGCACTTAGACGTGAAACTTGATGCAGTTGCTTTAGTTAGCATCCTTCATGGACTCACACACTTTTCTGCTCATATCAGCATTGGACTTGTTTTCCATTGCTACGCATTCAAAACTGGATTATGCATCCATTCTCTTATTGCAAATGGGCTCATAAGCATGTACTTTAAGTACAACAACATAGAAGCTGCCTCTTTGTTGTTTTCCGAGATGCAGGAGAAACCTCTGACAAGCTGGAACTCAGTTATATCTGGCTGTGTTCAAGCTGGAATGGCAAGTAGAGCGATAGAGTTGTTTGGTGAAATGAGGTTGTCTAGGCACAAACCAGATGCCATCACGATTGCCAGTTTGCTATGTGCATGTTCCCAACTTGGATACTTGCAGCTTGGGGAGAAGGTCCACAATTATGTGCTCAGAAACCATCTTGAATTGGAAGATTTTGTAGAAACTGCACTTATAGACTTATACACAAAGTGTGGAAGAATAGAGCTTGCGGAAAGAATTTTCAAGAGCATCAAAGAGCCATGCTTGGCTTCATGGAACTCGATAATCTCTGGCTACAGTTTGTGTGGCCTCGAACGTAAGTCTCTTACATATTATTCTGAAATGCAAGGACAAGGACTCATGCCTGACAAGATCACTTTCTTGGGAGTCTTGGCTGCATGCACCCACGGGGGTCTTGTCAATGAAGGAAGAAAGTACTTCGATGTTATGACGAAAGACCTTGCCTTGAGGCCGACCTTGCAACACCATGCATTCATGGTTACTCTGCTTGGTCGTGCAGGCCTATTTGAGGAAGCTCTGCTTTTTGTAAAGAATATGGAGGTTGAGCCTGATTCTGCTGTTTGGGGAGCTTTGCTCAGTGCATGCTGCATCCATGGAGAGGTGCAACTTGGTGAATGCTTGGCAAAGAAACTCTGGTTCTTGGATCAACAAAATGGTGGGTTTTACGTGCTAATGTCAAACCTCTATGCATCAGAAGGAAGATGGGATGATGTAGCTAGAGTGAGGGGGATGATGAAAGACATGGGTAGGGATGGATGCTATGGAGCTAGTGTAACGGAGATCACTTCGATGGAAGAAAAAAATAGAACCTTACGCTTTGATGATTTGCGCGTTAATGCCTGATTGCGGCTACTGCTAATTTAAAATGTACAAATCACCTCTACTAATTATGAGGAAAAAAATTAGATAGACCGAGCATCTGGTGCATTGGGCACACAATCATCTCCTGACCTATTTGTATCTCCCCATGCTCCATGTTTTTGGTCTTGAGTGTACCTAATGACAACCTCAAAACAAAAACGCCAGAGATTGCACTGACTTTTTCAGTATGTCCACAGTCGAACCTAGTCACACCGGCCCAGAACCCGGAACATAAACCAGACCAGAACCCTGTTAAACAGACCGGTCAGGTAAAGTTTTCTAAACCCTGGATAAAAACCTGTGCGTAATTGCTCAGTAACGTTCGACGATAAGCAAGAATTTATGAAGGGGACCACTCCTCTTGTCTGTATCTAGGATTGCGGTGTTACCTCCTGAAGCAAGAACAAGGGGACTTTGGGATAAGTGGGCCAGGGCTATCATTTTTCTCATGCAATGAAACCAACGCAACTGGTGGATGTAATTGACCTTGTGGTAGTACGTCGGTATGATTGGACAATGCCTACAAAGACTCACGACACACTACAAGTAGAAACAGAGAGCGTGAGGAGAGAGATGGCGATAATCACATTAACCTGCAACTCCAAGGTCTCTCTATTTCAGCCTTTTTCTTCCAATGCTGCTTCCTTTGGTACCAATAGCTCACACTGCCATGTACGGAGTGTGGCTGGTACATCCTGCAATGGAAGGCCTGAAGACAGGGCCGGAAGAGCCGTGGTTCGGGCACAGCAGCGCCCAACGTGGCTCCCGGGGCTAGACCCTCCACCTTATCTCGATGGAACGTGAGTTTACAGCCCACCAATCTTAAATTTGTCAGCATTTTGCACTATGGTTATGGCTTTTTTGGTCTATATTTGAAATTCTATTGATTCTGATGGTGCTTGTAAAGTTTGGCTGGAGACTTCGGGTTCGATCCACTGGGGCTTGGAGAGGATCCGGAGAGCTTGAGGTGGTACGTACAGGCTGAGCTGGTTCATGCTCGCTTTGCCATGGCGGGTGTAGCTGGAATTCTCTTTACTGATGTGGGTGCTGTCTCTCTCTCTCTGTCTCTCTCTCTCTGAGTGGAAGGAACTAATTCGGAATAGTTGTTTACAGTGATGTTCAGCAGAAGGGTACATGCCGTAATCTTTCTTGATAAAAGAAGTGATGGACCAGAATTGCAAGTGAAACCAACCCAAAATCTAAGTCATATCCAGTTATAAATCATTTTATTTCAATTCTTGGGTATTAGAATTCCTGAGTGTAGCTGAGATTAAAGAGATTCACCATTATATCTAGCGAGTAGAAGGAAACATTTGAGGATCACAAGTTCCCTTCATTCCTTTAATAGCATCCACTTCCAGAGGGGGTTCCCAACGTTGTGCCAATTGCAAAATTCCACACCTGACTATCACTTGATTTTTCACTCTACTCAACAAAGAAAAACGTAACGGACAGCTAGATTTTAGCATCAAGTGTCACAACCAGCCCACGTTACTCATATAGTGAGTACAGTTGAATCTGCTCTGGGTAAGCTGATAGACACTAATTCCTGTTACAATGTTCAATTATGCAAAGATTACTTTGTTGTGGCTGTTGGTGTTATAATGATCTTCAGTTGTGTGTTGCAGTTACTTCGTGTAACGGTTATAAGAGACCTACCTGTTTGGTATGAAGCAGGAGCAGCCAAATACCAAATCGCCAATGCACAGACGCTGTTCATCATTCAACTGATCCTAATGGGGTAAAATTCCCCTCCGAGCCCTACCAGTCTTGAACTTCTGTTACCTTTTTGAACAAGACCTTATCTTTATTTGATTTACGCAGATATGCTGAAACTAAAAGATACATGGATTACATTAGCCCTGGATCTCAAGGTCAGGAGGGTTCCTTCTTCTTTGGAATGGAAGCAGCACTAGAGGGCTTAGAACCTGGGTAATCTTTCTTCTCTCTTCAAATGGTCTCCGATGGAGTCCATCTAACCGTTGTAGAGCTTATTGTTGTTGTCTGGCAATCGAGATATAACTATCGAAATGATAATATCATTGACATTTGTCTGAAACAGGTATCCTGGTGGTCCTCTGTTGAATCCTCTTGGCCTGGCTAAAGATATTAAGAACGCTCGCGACTGGAAGCTTAAAGAGATCAAGAATGGTCTGGCTTTCTTTAAATGTTTCTGTTTTACCTGATACTTTGCAATCTGACAACATTTAACTGAAATGGGTTCACTGCAAAACCATCTATCCGCTGCAGGAAGGTTAGCTATGGTGGCCATGCTCGGCATCTTCGTGCAGGCCTCTGTGACCCGTGCAGGACCCATTAACAACCTTGTGGAGCACCTCTCTGATCCGTGGCACCGAACCATCATTCAGACCCTTGCTAATTCCTCTTCTTAAACATCCATAGAAGTTAAAACACATCTGCATTGTAAAACGATTTTATTGGAATTACAGAATCCGTTGTTGCCATATTTTGACTGCCATTAACATCGAGCAGACGATTACATTCAGTTCATATTTATTTGATGGGGTTCATTGTTTTGCAGCAGTCGGTAATAGATGTAATCTGCAAATACCAGGCTGTATGATCCTAAAATAGCATTGGACAGAATGTATATCATCGATATTGCAACTAACATGATTTGTGTCTACTTCTCAAATTCTTATAAAGCCATCATGCTTCAGACCCTTGTCGAGCAAATAAAAGTTTAAGCGTAATGTTGAAAGTAGCAACATGACCCCAAACCACATTTGACACATAGCTCAGCGTGGCCCTTACTGAGACTGCGCCTTAAATATAATGACAACAGAACTCGGTCATCCAGGATAACAGTACAATTAGCTTTATCCAATACAATCTCATAGAAAACCATTTCTTTCTCATCTTACCAAACTTACAAGTCATCCACGTAACAGTATTCACAAAGCAAAGATATACATTACAGAAGCCATGTTATCACCCCCGACAACAACAGTCATTATTACCCTCTTCCAAAAGCCAACTTCCCATAAACATTACACAATGAAGAAAAAATCATATGATCAGTGTAAGTACACAAACAATCTCTGACATATACATTGGTATAAAACTGTGGCAAAACAAGTTTGAGGACTTCTGTGGTCATACACCAGAGAAAAATGCCCGAAACAGCAGAGGCTAGAAGTCACAAGAAGAGCAGGAGAGAACACAACCTGGTTCAGACAAAAACTATGACGACCTGGATGAATGTGCCTTTCTTCTGGCCAAGAACATCAGAAATTTTGGAAACAAAGATCTCTTTTTCTTTTTGATGACCTTCACATCAAGTGATGATCCACTTCCGCTATTACTTTCAAGTACGTACGGCTTTTGGCTTGGCAAGTAACGTGCAGGTACAGCAGCCATATCTGGTGGTACTTTGACGAGACTATTAGATTCTTTCCTCTCCTCAAAGCTTCTCTCAGGGGCCCTGTTGGGAGCTGTTGGCCCTTGATTAGACTCACTGGCCTTTCGTCGCTGCTCATGCTCGGCCCTCCACTTCCTCAACTGCTGCTCAACTCCCAATTTCCCTTCCTTGGCCTTCTCGGCCTTCTCCATTGCATTTCTCAATGCCTCTTTTCTCATATCCACCTCCCTGTTTGCCTCTTCCAACTTTTCTAGGCTCCTCAACTCAGACTCCTTAGCCGCCTCAATTTGGGAAACGGCTTCTGCCACCCTCACAGTAGCCTGCTCCTCCGCCTCATGAGCCCGTTTGCTGAGGTCGTAATACTCCTCTAGAGAAAGTGTCACACTGCAGGAAGAATCCACGTCATCAGTGCTTTGAGTTGATTCACTCTCTTGCAATGCCTTGATGGCTGCTAAAGCCAGCTTTTCGGAAGCCTTGGCAGCCTCGGTTTCCTTTTGAGCAGCGAGCAACCGGCTCTGCACTGTAGTAGCGGCAGCCTTCGCCTGCTCAGCTTCTTCCTTTGCTTTCCGCAACTCTTCACGAGCCACTTGGGCAAGAGACTTGGCCTGGTCAGCATCTTGTGCAGCTTGCTGCAAATGTTTAGGCAGCTCGGCCATTTTCTCTTTTGCTTCTTTCTCCTTCATCTGAACTAGGGCAATTTCAGATCGAGTTTTGTCCAGGTCAGCTTCAAGGGATGCAACAGCAATAGACGCCATGCCTTCTCTCTGTCTAATGGTGGCAAGATCAGATTTCTTTTTCTCCAGCTCTGCCTTTAATGATGTGGCAGCAACCTTCAAGCAATTTACTTCTTCTGTCGCTTTTTCAATGTTAAGCTTCACTTCCTCGAGTTCCTTTTTCGCTGAAGCAACTGTCTCCTGAAGATAAGCATGAGTTTTCTCCTTCGAATCTTCTGTTTCACCCTTCGAGCTCAATTCTTCATCAGTTTCCTGCTGCAATTTCGACTCCATATAAGATGCCAATTCAGCTTTTAAATCGAGCAGCAATGCCGAAGCACTGTCTAGCTTTGACCTTAGATCCTTAGCCGACTGGATTTGCTGGTTAAATCTCTGGAGCTCTTCCTCTGCCTGCTTCAATTCCTTCTCCCAATTTAGAGAATCCTGCTCTCTGGCCATAGCTGCTCCAATTCTCTGTTCCTCTGCCTCTAAATGCGCTGCTTGAGCCGATTCCAGAGACTCCTTTGTAGAAATAAGCTCAATAGTTAGTTCCTCCACTGTCTTCTCAACTTCCTTTGATGCAGCTATAGCCTCTTGAGCTTTCTTCACTGCTTCATCTTCGTCAGTCACCAACGAAGCATATTCCTTGCGTAGTGCATCTAATTCTTCTTTAACAGATTTGAGCTCGGAGATTGCGGCTGTATGCCGGGCCCTAGCAACCTCGAGTTGTGCCTTCGTAGCGACGCTAGCCTCATCGGCAATCCCTTGCTCCATTTCTTCAACCCTGAGCCTGGCAAGTTCGGAGTCCTGTTTCGCTTGATGCTCTTCTGTCTGCGCCCTCTCCAGATTAAGCTTCAATTCTTCGATGAGTCTCTTAGTACTGTCTAGCTCCTTTAGTACTTGAATCTTTTCCTCTTCTGCTGCCTCCGATCGCCTCCTATACTCGGGGATTTCCTCTTGCGCCTTTTCGAGTTCCTCTTCCACAAGCTTGCGCCTCTGCACAAACCAAAAAAAGAGGTGACCATATAAAATGCAGCTGAGAAGAAGTTACAGTACACTTCAATGATGTGGGATGAGAAAGCACAACAGAAACCTTAGGAAAAAAAATACTACCACTTGGCAAAGTGGTAAAACAGGGGGAAACGAAGAGAAAAAAACTTCTGCTTCCTACCCCGACAAAACTAAATTCCTGCTCAGGTCTGAAATGAAAATGCATTAGTAATCTTCCTTCGCTCATTCTCCTTAAAAAAATATAATATATAAGAGAAAAAAAAAGTGAAAATCAAGCAAAGTGAAAAAATAAACATGCGATGGTGCTGATGATAGCATAAGGCAATCCGACTTTCTGAAATCCAGGTGATCTTCCTGTCGTCAATCAAAGATATTTCTGTTTCTTAGCATCCGAAAGACTCCAAAGAAATTAAGAAGAGACAATAAACCAAAAGTGATTACACCATTTTGCTTAACCACTGCGAACCACACATCCATAAATAAAAGTATTAATTTATTAAAAATTATGTCACATTCAATTAAGGGGTTAGTTGACAGGTCAAAAGCTTGGTTTGGACGTGGCAAATCCCATATTGAAATACATCACTCACTCAGGGTAACTTTAGGCACCACACTTGCCACCTGAGTAGAGCCATAGGGTTACCAGATGCGCATGGGGCCGGGGCGGTTTACATGCATTCTTGGAAACTAGTCAAGCCGAAAATTCAAATACCCCCATGTTATATTAAAACAAAGAGTTCAAAGATCAATGCTCTCTAACCAAAGAGAGAAGCAACTTAATCGCTGCTATGATATATATCAAGAAAGTATTTTTCCAGTCATCAGCAATCTAAGGTCAAATACTTTTATCATCTCATTTAGAAAAAATTTTCTTCTTTGTAAACGATCCTGACTGGCTTGTTCTTGGGAATAACAAGAGGGACTTCCTTTACAGTCCTGTACCACAATTGTCTCCATCAACACCAAAGACAAGTTGAGCAACAGGAATCTTCCAGATTAATGTTTAATGTCATTAGTTTGAAATCTGGTAAACATTAGGCACAGGCATTCTCACTTTCAGAAGAGCTCAACAAACATGTTAAACAAGCATAATGTAATGGAAGGGTAGATCTCGAGTACCTCCACAGTCTGGATTTTATGAGCTTTCCAATCTACAATTCCACCAAACTTGGAAACAGCTTCCTTGACAGATTCAAAAGGTGCTGCTGTATCGATATGCCCTCGGCCTTCTTCTGCCTGCCTAGCTTTTCTCGAAGGATCAAGGACCTTCGGCGATCCAACAGCAGCTGTTTTAACAGTGGCAGGGGACTGAGAAAGCTTGTTGGTTTTTGTAGCGTTATTATCATACTTTGGAACTTTAACTTCAGACAAGGGAGCAGAAAGCAACATTGTACCATCCATCTGAATTTGCAGACCCCCAACAGGATCAGTATCTCGAGATGACTGCTCGCCAGAGACATCCTTTACCTGGCCTTCTTCTCTGACTGTAGGTGGTCGGTCACCCTTGGTATCATCAGCCATAAGTGGTGATGTTGAAGTGCTCTCTATCTGAAGTTGGTTTTCTCCGGAGGGTGAACTTTTGGGAGCACCATCGGGTACATCTTTTAGATCTTGCCTTCCTTGTTCAGTGTGATGGTGATCATGCTTGACTATATCAACTCCAACCACCGGGGTTGAAGCAGGGGCGTTCATTGGAAGCTGGCTATGTTCAGCAGCTGCGTCTTCTGAAGCACCATGAGTCACGTCAACTACAGAATTTTCCACTGTTGAGAAGTCGCTATCGGATTCCATCTTACCATCAGTATCTCGTTGTACTTCAGATTCCTTCTCAGAATAATTCCCATTCTGGGTCGGTGGAGACAGCTCTTGTGAAGGCATCTCATCAGCCATTTTAGCATCCTCCATAGGAACAAACTAGTTCAAGTGACAGGAGTTCAAGAACATTATAAGCAAAATAACAAAAGATAAGTGAAGAAAAGAAATAGTCATGCTGCAAAATAGGTGAATGATACCACTTGACTAACCGAACTTGAATGCTTTATCATAGAAAATTTCCCCTTTGAGATGGTTGTTAACAAAGGGGGATACAATCAAACAAATTCAGTTGCTGTCTTCATCTTTTAGCAATATGAAATCTCAGAGTCATAGATCCTCAAATTTGATCATGCTGATACTACGATAGCAAATTAAGAATGTGAATGAGCTAAATCCTAGATAGAGTGACCATGTAAAAAACATTGAACGTTTCTCTTATTCAGGACAAGTATTGAGCAACTTCCTGCAAACAACGTCTTAGTACTCCTTTGTTTGTAAATTGTGTGGACCAAAGAGAAGACCTCCGGAATAAATGGCGCAATAGCATATTGGAATGGTAAGTGATATAATCATCAGTGACACGTGGTCCGGATGCACAAGCCCCGCGCACTTCCTCCCAAACCATACGTTCAAAGGCACGATATTCGACAAGAACTTGAAACGAAAATCATTGATAGAAGCAGCAACACCTAATCTTTTAGAAAAGTTCAAAACCCTCCACATATCAAATGCTTCTCTAAAGTAATGACACGAACATAAATACGAGCAACCGAGCTCAGGGGGCATCAAAAGGCAGACATACATAAACAGCGACAATCAAGAAACAAACAGCAGCTTAATCGGTTTTCAAGAGATGAAGCACATCTTTTTCAACTCCTCCAGGAATAAGCAGATTACCCATTCTATTTTCTCGAATAGAGAAACGAAAACCCTTCACAGGTCGAATGCTCGATCTTCCTAAACTCAGAAACCTCCAATTACATAAATGAACCCCCAACTAATGGAAAGAAGAAAGGGCCAAAATTATATATGACAGAAATGAACTTCGACGATTTAGTGAAGCTTGAGACTTTCGCAATTTTTTGAAGTTTCATATTTGACCAAGAGCCTTGAACTTGAGCTCATCTCCGTACAGAATTTCAATCGACCCATAATAGCAAAACAAGCCAATTTGATCTCCAAAAGTTTCAAGCACATACTCACATCGAATTCGATGCGGGGAAGCGACCAAAGAGGCCGATACCAACTTAAGCACTAATCACGAGCTAAACCCATAGTCCAGAAAAGATTACCGTAGCACGAGCTGATTGAATCAAGAAATGGTTTTGATATGGGATTGAAATTCTGAGCCAAAAGAATGCATGATTGAAAAGAGAGAGAGAGAGACAGAGAGACAGAGAGAGAGAGAGAGAGAGACATACCCGGGTTGCGTTGACGAAACCCAGAGAGACGACGAGTCAAAACAGAAAACCTTCCAATGATCTTTGGTGAATTGAAGCTGGTACGGGAAGAACTTCCCTTTCTGTTCTTTCACAGAAAATTTACAGAGTTGAAATACGAGGAAGAATTAAGGGGCTAAAATGAACAGCTAAAAATAGGAGGACACACCAAAAACAGGGAGGTAAAACCACGCGCGCAGGAGCGTTCCCTCTCAGTCAGTCACAGACTAGATCCATCTGTCCACACACACCCACTCTCTCTCTCTCTCTCTCTCCCTCTTTCTTCTTCTTCTTTGTCTGCGCTTCAAGATGAGATTTTTATATGATGTTCTTGTCTTTATTCACGCGGAGGGAGAAAGACATGGGGGGTTTTTGGCTTGTGGGTTTCATGAAAAATCAGACCCTTTTTCCTGAAATATTGCAGAAGGACAGAACAGCTTCGAAATTGTTGACGTTTTCCAAGAAAGCCTTCTCCTTTGTTTTTCCAGGCAGAGAAGGGAGGGGGACCAGTACCCCCCCTGTGGGAGTTTTCACCATTATTCCCCTCTCTCCTCCATGTCTGCTTCCCAACATTTTTCTTTCCTTTCTTTTTTGGTTCCCTTTTTTTCTCCATTTGGAATGAGATGGAAGAAAGGGACAGAAGAATATCGAGGTAAGGGAAGGGGGTTTGACACATTGGCGATGGCCAAAAGGAGAGGCGTTGCTAAGGGTTTCGATAATTGTCGAATAAAAAATAAATGAATCTCGCCCGTTGATCGTAAAATTTCCAAAAATTTTACTTGTTAAAATATTTTTCTATGAAAGTAACGGGGAAGATACAAAGCATTGCGACTCGAGACTCCGTCCTCGCTTGACCATAGAATACTTAATAAGATATTTTTCTATGAAAGTAAAGGGGAAGATGCAAAGCATTGCGACTCGAGACTCCGTCGTCGCTTGACCATAGAACTGTCCGAGGAGAAAAATAGGCCGTAACTCGATTTAACCTTCTTGATTTTATGTTGAGGTATTATCATATTTCGCAACTCCCGCAATTTAACACGATTTAACCTTGTAAAATGTCCAGATGTTGATATACGGGATAATATGAGACTTCTTCACGACTTTTCAAAAGTGCAATTAGCATTTTAAATTTCGACGGAAAAATCGACAAGTATTTTTTGTAACTTAAAAAGGCCAAAGCAAACAGGCATTCGGCCAAAAAGAAAGCCCTTCATTATTGATAGTTGCATGAGTCATCCAACATGTGTACTTTAGCTTTTCTTAAGCAAAAATGTTACCTACTCATTTCATCATCAAAACTTAAAGGGTTAATACACGAAAAACTCTAAACTGGTACATTTGTGACACATTTACCCCAAATTATTTTTTTGACCATAAAAAACCCCAAACTGGTACACCTGTGACAATTTTATCCCGAACTATTTTTTTGACCATCAAAAACCCCAAACTGGTACATCTGTGACAATTTTACCCTGAACTTACCACAAAAAGCCCCAAACTGGTACATATGTGACAATTTTACCCTGAATTAAATTTTTAATATTATTTTTTATTTTTTTCGAATTTTTATTTATTTATTTATTTTTTTCCTTTTATTTTTTTTCTTTATCTTCAACCTTTGGCCGGTCGCCGGTCCGGCGACCGGCCAGAGGCGGAAGCCGGCAAGGGCCGCCCTCACCGGCGTCGGGCGAGGGCTGTCCTCGCCAGATCCCTCGCCCTCGCCGGTATCGGGCGAGGGTTGCCCTCGCCGTCGTCGGGCGAGGGCTGCCCTCGCCGGCTTCGGGCAAGGCAGCCCTCGCTTGGGCGGGCGAGGACGGCCATCGCCTGAGTTGGGCGAGGGTCGCCCTTGCCGAGTCGAGCGAGGGTCGCCCTTGCCGAGTCGAGCGAGGGCGGCCCTCGCCGGCTTTCGCCTTTGGCCGGTCGCTGGACCGGCGATCGGCCAAAGGTTGAAGTGAAGAAAAAAAAAAGAAAAGAAAAGAAAAGAAAAAAGAAAAAATTCAAAAAAATTCAAAAAAATAAAAAAATAATATTAAAAATTAGTTGGGGTAAAATTGTCACATGTGTACTAGTTTGGGGTTTTTTGTGGTATGTTCGGGATAAAATTGTCACGGGTGTACCAGTTTGGGGTTTTTTATGGTAAAAAAAATAGTTTGGGGTAAATGTGTCACAAATGTACCAGTTTAGGGTTTTTCGTGGTATTAACCCAAACTTAAATTACTAATTGAAATATAAAATATTTTTAGGTTATATATAATTATACATATATATATGTATGTACGTGTGTTTTAAAATATTTAAGGTGTGTAGCATTAAACAAAGTCGGATTTTGAGAGTTGCGAAATTTGAAGAAAGTGCGAATTAGAAATTACTCCAAACAACAATTTTTTTCATGTGGTTCCTTATTAACGAAAGAATTGAACTCTCTCTTTCTCTTTCGAAAATATTTCACTTTCCAAATTGAATGCGATGGAAGACACAGGAAAAAAAAAAGTGCTGTAATTTTGAATATTAATTATAATAGGTTCTTCTCTTTTTCCCATTAGAGAGAATTTTGCTTTTAGGGTTATTCCCTGAATATGCTTTTGTTCAGCTACTGGTCCTTGCAGTTAGGAAGAAGTTTCAGACAAGAGACGTGTCTTTTGCTCTCGCTCCATCATCAATTGTCGACAGACTACACGGTTAGTCCGCAACTTCGTTTTTCTGACGAAAAATAAATAATTCAAAAATATTTTTTTTAAAATAATCGCTTGAATAATTAATCAATGTTATTAGCAATAATTTATGTTTAAATATTTTTCATGAACGATTAAAATATACTTCATTAATTTATTTTTATTAGCGATATAATCGATCATTTTTAGGAAATTATTTTTTGAATTAGTCATTTTTCGAGAAAAAAATGGAGCATGACTAACCAGCTTACACCATTATTAATATACGAAAGAGCTTTATATGTGAGAGAAGAAAAGATTTTTCTTTTCCTGGTTTGTGGGATACACGTAAGCTAGCTTGTTTTGCCTTTCTGGCCTTTGAAAAATACATAAAAGATAAGGGTAAAATGCTAAGCCTGCCTATTAACCAAATTACAAAAAAGAATTTCATAATTCGACATTTATTATTTCTCACAATTTTCCCTAAGTTGGTCATCAAATTCTCGTCTAAGATGTTTACTACAGTGACACCTATGGTCGCATAAGGGTAAGATGATGATGGGGCTATTGAGCATTTTGAATATTTGCCTTAGATTGTTAATTTAAGTAATTAAAATGCAAAACTTTGGTCTAATATTTAGTACCTCGATACCTTAGAGATGCATGAGTATGTATAGAATTTCAAAAGACAACCATAATGATCTTTTTATTTCTTTTTTTTTTCAGTTTAGTAATTTTACCTAGAATATCTTCATCTTTGCACAAAGTATCCATACAGCAGGTAGTACTTAGAAGTGGCCACCGGGCCACGCTAGCCCGGGCACAACTCGATACTAGCTCAATTGAAACTAAGGACGTGCTAGGAGCTGCCTGTCTAGCCTGCACTCGTGCCCTAAGCCGGGACTAGCCAGTTGGCCCTTATGGGCTGGCCCATGCCCAATTTTCTTTTCTTTTTCTCTTTTTTTTTCGATTTGACTTTTCACGTGGCAACTCGAGCACAATTGCTCAATTCCTTTTTTGTGGATCCGTCGATCATCCCAGTGGCCACTCATACCAATGGTAAGAAATCTTAAGTAGCTCCGAGAAAAAAATCTTCTCTCACTATTATAATCTACATAGGGCATGGTGTTTGGAGGTAAGCATGGTCCGGGTGAGCAGTTTCCATCCTAGAACCGGGAACTACCCACTAATGACCGGTTCCGAAAAATTGGATCCGGGAACCCCCTATTGGTTCCATGGATCCACTTGGGAACTAGACTATCGGTTCGGTTCGGTTCCCGGGTGAGTCAATAGAACCGGTCTCAAATCCCTACAAAATTGCATACATAAATTAACATCTTCTTGATGTCTAGGATGTTTTTGAAAAGAAGATGAGAATGAGGAGGTCCCTCTGTTCCTTGCCTTTGAAGCTTTGATCTAAGCCTCCTTGGTCCCCATATGAAAACTCTATACGCATGTAGAATCAATGTCGAAGCCATCTTCACCGTCACCTTGGAAGCAGACATTGTTGGTTCTTCAACTGCCATCGTTCTTTTTCTTTTCTCGTTTCAGTTTGGCAATTCTTCTTCCTCTCGTCGCATCACATAGGAAAATGGAAGGAAGAATTGCTCTCATTGCACCTTCTCATTATGTTTTGTCACTTAAAACATCTATTCACCAATGCAATTATATATAGATATATATAGATGTCGGTACGGTTCGGGTGGGCGGTTTTATGCCTAGAATCGAGAAATAGACCGCCACTCACCGATTCTAATAAATTGAAACGGGAACCGGATTGATCCCCATGGAAATTACCGATTTGATCCGGTTCCGGGGGGTCCAGGCAGTTCCCGATTTCTTGGCACACCCTTACTGGTGTCCTCATAATCTTTTGCTGTCGGATCGAAATGCAACGGATTTTTAGCCGTTCTATAGATGTTAGCTTAACCAATTAGGTTTTTCCACTTTTTGATTTAACGACGAAAATTTGCGAAGGGCACCCGTTGTCACGAGGGGCCACAAAAACTCATCCCACGCACTAGTAGCAAGCGAGCGAGCAGCTACGCTTTAGCCAAAAAAACGAAAGAAAAAGAAAAGGAGTAAAGTTAGTAAGACATGAAAAGATTTTTGGAAAAACAAAAGGCCAAAAGCGAATGACGTGGGTCGTGTTGGCCGTGGCGGGGACCACGGGTTGCGCAAAGACCGCCGACCAGCTTGGGCGGCCGCACGACAGGACCGTTGTTGGATGGAGGACCTGAGATTGACTTTTCGTAGCGAAAGCTTAGCCATAATCGTGCCCCTATCCTACGGGATTAATTACCATTTTGCAGGGACTAATCCCAATTAAAAATTATAAATAACAAAAGACTCTTTTACTAGGAAAATTCCCCCTCGAGTTTTTTTTTTTTTAATTTTCTTTCCTTTTTCAGTGCACCGGATAGAATCATCCAAGTTACAAGCATTTAACGTAATTTACATAATCTACTTGTTCTAATAATTTGATTTCGAGATTCGTCGATCGAATTTGATCCTACTCAATCCCAAGATGTAGGATGGACAATATGTGCACCCTCCCTGGTCACTCGATTTTTCCATTTGGACGGAGAAGGTAAGTGTTTAGAAGACCGAATTATTTATATTAACTAAGTAGTATTGGGAGCACTCGGAGAGTAAAATCTGAATGTACTGGACCGAGGTCGATATAGGGGAATTCGCCTTTAAAATCTCCCCGAGGAGGTGAGCCAGTCTAGACGCATGAAAGCCGATCCAATCTAGACATATGAAAACATATCCATAAATTACCAACCAAAAAGGAAAGCACGAATGATTTGGAAGATATTATCGTGAAAATGATCGCTTACAAAAATAAATGAATGGAAAATATTTTTAT